TCGCTAATGTAACTAATTTAAAGTTTACGGATGGGAAAACGGAATATCCTAAGAGCCAAATCCCTCGCAAGCGCATTCGCGCGGGGACTTTTATATATAAGACTAGCAGGAAGTACCTGCCATTACCCGGGCGAAAAATATATTTCAAAACTTCTCTTAAAAACATAACATACATACACAGATACTAAGCTATTGTGAAAGGCCAGCGTGCCGTTTGTCCATTTGTCTTCAACAAAATTATAAGAGGCTTGCAGAAGTCCAAAAAGTTATAGAAAGTGGGGGGTAAATAGTTGATCTAAAAGGTTTCCAAAAATTGTCGACCCCCCCCTCAAACATTTTAACCCCCACGTTGGCATATATACCTAAACACCCTACATACAATAGAGTGAGTAGTATCTAGTGACTCTATAGTAGTATATGGCTCTACAGTAGTATCTGCTGACTCTGTAGTTGTATCTACTGACTAGTAGTAACTGCTGACCGTAGTAGTACCTACTGACTATAGTAGTATCTGCAGACTAGCAGTATCTGCAGACTCTATAGCAGTATCTGCAGATTCTATAGCAGTTTCTGCTGACTATAGCACAGTAAGTAACACATTTATGAGTAATCTATTACTACTGACTACAGAAGTATATACTGACTGTAATAGAATTTAGTATCTACCGACTCTATAGCAGTAAATACTGACTGCAGTAGTATCTAATGACTGTAGTAGTGTAGCGGCATTGTTACGCGCAACATGTGTACTTACCTACGTAGCAGTATTGTATGGGTCACGTACACTCACCTTTAGTGGCGCCCTCAGTCTGTAGGGGCGCAGAACAGCCAAGGGGGCTGTTGAGTGACAGGTGTACGACCCACGACTACAATAACCGTTGACCAGGGGTCAGGGGGCCAGAGCACACTGAGGAGGGGGCTGGGGGGACCAACGGTCGGACCCAGACCCTCTCCAGAGAGATCCGGAGATATCCAACTTGGAGTGGTTGCGAGGGGGGAGTATAAAAAGGCCAGCTCTCCCAGTGTGAGTCAGTCCGCACTCACCTCAAGACCTAAGACATCTAGATAGTGTCCTGGGACTTCCAACCCCCGGCTCTTGTCAGGGCCAGGTCCGAACGGCCCAGTGACGGCACCCGTTACCCTGGCAAGGTCGGGTGAGCATGGCCTTTCCTAGGTCCCTTCGCGGAGGAATCCCGATAGCAGAGTATAGTGTGAGGGCACACTAGTGTAAGGACATATCCTCTAGGCTATCGGGTGGGAGAGGCCGTTATCTCTCTGTGTTAGGGACGCTCTGTATCAGAGGAAATAAACGGTGTTGCCTGCGAAGAGAAGTCTCTGCCCACTTTGTCAACACTGCAGTAGTACCTACTGAATATAGTAGTATCTATTGACTATAGTAGGAACTACTAACTCCATAGTAGTATCTGCAGACTCTATAGCAGTTTCTGCAGACTATAGCAGTTTTTGCTGACTATAGCTGTATGTACTGACTATAGTCGTATCTACCGACTCTGCAGCAGTATATACCGACGATAGTGGTATCTACTGACTGTAGTATTATCTACTCACTGTAGTATTATCTACTGACTTTAGTAGTATCTACAAACCCTATAGTAGCATCTACCGACTCTATAGTAGTAACTACTGACGATAGTAGTATCCACTGACTATAGTAGTAACTGTGAACTCTACAGCATAATCTACTGACTCTAATGTAGTATCTACTGACTGTAGTAGTATTTACTGACCGTAGTAGTATCTACTGACAGTAGTAGTATCTACTAACTATACAGTTGTATCTAATGACTATAGTAGTGTCTACTGGCCGTAGTATCTACTGACTGTATAGTAGTATCTCCTGGCTGTAGCAGTATTTACTGACCATAGTGGTATCTACTGACTGTAGTAGTATCCACTGACTCGAAAGTAGTATCTGCTGACTATAGTAGTATGAACCAACTCTATAGTAGTAAATATTGACTCTAGAGTAGTATCCAATGACTATAGTAGTATCGACAGAATGTATAGTATCTGTAGACTCTATAGTAACTACTAACTATTATATCTGCTGACTAGTATCTGCAGACTTGAAAGCAGTATCTGCTGACTCTATAGTCGTATCTACCGACTCTGTAGCAGTATACTGACTAAAGTGGTATCTGCTGACTAGTATTATCTACTGACTCTTTCGGAGTATCTATCGACTCTATAGCAGTAACTTCTGATGATAGTATACACTGACTATAGTAGTAACTACTAACTATACAGTAGTATCTACTGACTTGTATCTACTGACTGTAGCAGTATTTATTGACCATAGTGGTATCTACTGACTGTAGTTGTATCTTCTGACTCAATAATAGTATCTGCCAACTCTATAGTAGTATCAACCAACTCTATAATAGATATACTGACTCTACAGTAGTATCTAATGACTATAGTAGTATCTATGGAATTTATAGTCGTATCTATTAACTCTATAGTAGTATCCACTGACTATAGTAGTAACTACTAACTCTATAGTAGTTTCTGCTGACTATAGCAGTATCTACTGACTCTGCAGCAGTATAGTGGTAGCTACTGACTAGTATTATCTACTGACTCTATAGTAGTATTTACTGGCTCTATAGTAGTATCTATTAACTCTACAGCAGTATCTACTGACTCTAGAAGTATCTACAAACTATAGTAGTATCTACTAACTGTAGCAGTATTGACTGACCGTAGTGGTACCTACTGACTGCAGTAGTATCTACTGACTCAATAGTATCAGCCAACTCTATAGTATATACTGACTCTACAGTAGTTTCTAATGACTATAGTAGTATCTACTGAATCTATAGTAGTATCCACTGAGTATAGTAGTATCTACCAACTATAGTAGTAACTGACTCTACAGAAGTATCTACTGAAGCTATAGTAGTATCTATTGACTCTATAGTATTATTTGGATCTTTCGGTAAAGCCACGTAGATATATATTTTTTTCAAAATAACAATATCATGACGTTTCGATCACAACAAAAGCAATCTCTTTTTTCACCTAAAGACGATTGCTTGTGTTGCGATCGAAACGTCATAATATTGTTATTATTTTGATAATTTTTTCTATCTATGTGGCTTTACATGAAAGACCCAAAGAATGTGAATTCTTGCAGTCGCGAAAAGCTTTAAGTCAAGATTTAACCGATTCTATAGTAGTATCTACTGACTATAGTCGTAACTACTAACTCTCTATCAGTATCTGCTGACTCTATTATTATCTGCTGACTCTGTAGCAGTATCTGCTTACTCTATTGCAGTATCTGTTGACTCTACAATAGCATCTACCGACTGTAGTAGTATCTCCCGACTTCACAGTAGTATCTATCGACTCTATAGTAGTATCTACCGACTCTATAGTCGTATCTACCGACCCTATAATCGTATATATCGACTGTATAATAGTATCTAGTAAGTATACAAAGTACCGTTGTCAGGCCTAGTCCCTTGGAGAAGCCCCCGGCCTGGCCTCGATTGCCCAGCCGGCCGAGGTGGCACCTTTGCAGGCTGGGCTGCTACACCTGCCCCACCATCCCCCCGCCCACTCTACAGTAATAGTATCTAAGGGCTATAATAGTAGTATCTACCGACCCAATAGTAGTGTAATGAGAGCGCTATCTAAGGAACGACGAGGGGTAATTGCATAGTCACTGCTGGGTAACTAATATTATCAGGAGGAAGGGTTCCATCTGGGCCAAAGGTAACGGGCGGAGCTTGTGGGTATGTACGGGAACCATTGGGAAGGTTCCATGAGGGGGCGTGGCTAGAGGACTCGGGGTCGGTGTGGGGAGCCTAGAGTCCGGACTGCATCATCGCCTACCTCTACTTGCCACTGGCCACGTGGCGGCCTCTGCCAGCGAAGCCTTCTCTCCCTCCAGCGGGCCGCCAGCCAGCGGCGAGCGTGGAGAGAGAAAGAGACGGCCGCGACGGTGGAAGAGGGAGAAGCGCGCGTTACGGCAACGGAGAGAGAGAGGGAAGCCATCCGGAGAGAGAAAAGCGGAGCTGTGCAGACTGTTAAATAAAAGACACCAGTCCAGAGTCGTCGTGGAAGTTGTTTATTACAGTAGTATGTGCACACATTGGGGTGGTTGGGGGAAAAGAGGACATCACACTTTGAATAATTTACCTCAGCGTTTTTTTTATTTTTAATGCGAATGAGAATTCCCCCCTCCCCCCACCGATCGCGTGTGTGCGTTGCTAGGGCAACCACGGGTCAGCTTTCTCGTGCATGCGCAGATGCGTGCTCTGGCGCACGCTCAGCTTAGTAATATAATAATTAATAGTACTAAATTGTCAATTTAGCGACTTTAAAGTTGACAGATGTGAAATACGAATAGCGCTGGCTCACCCCTGGGCTTATCGCGTGGTATCTGGGTACTTTTTTAAACATAAACCCCACGGTTTGTGAGTTAAATCCGTCGCAAGTTGCGTGGACAGACAAAAAATAACTTATAGGTAAGATGGGGATGTATTCCCCATGATGTTATTTTTTTCATATGAGCAGCATATGAGGGCTTCATTGGGGTATTGGTTAATAGCGCTAATAATGCTCGTAATAATACAGATCGTCAAGATTTTCTTAGAGAACAGCTCCAGGACCTCTGTGATCTTAGTGATGCCCTCAGTCTAGATTTCTGTGGTGAGGTTTCTTTGGGTAGAGCCTGAGACTGTCCTAGTCTCATGAGTTTACATCTGGCTAAAAGCACTGTAATAATATGAGATGTAATTGTGATCACGAATAGGGATCTGGTTGGCTCAGCGTGTCGCTCTCATTATCTAAGTGAATGATTGGGGTGGGAACGTTTCCTCGGCAAGCGCTACTGCAAGCGCTTTGTAGGTTTTAATTTTTTTTCGTAAAAAGATTCTGCAGGAGAAAGCATGATGAGGAATTGTCTCATTTGGTTTGTGCTAAGTGAGGTCTGCCTATATATTGTGTGTAATATGTGTATATATCTGCAGATGAATCACATGGAGCAGAGAGACTCGGAACAAGCTGGAATTAAAAGGCATAAATGCATCCAGTGTCCATACAGCACGGATCAGATGAGCAACTTGAAGAACCATCACAGAACTCACACTGGAGAGAAGCCCTTCAAGTGCACCGAGTGTGGGAAGGCATTTGCACAATCACCATACCTTAAAATACACCAGAGAACACACACAGGTGAGAAGCCCTTCAAGTGCATTGTGTGTGGGAAGACATTTACATGGTTATCGAATCTTGACAGCCATCAGAAAACTCACACTGGTGAAAAGCCGTTCAAGTGTGCGATGTGTGGGAAGACATTTACACGGTCATCTCATCTTGACAGCCATCAGAAAACACACACTGGTGAGAAGCCCTTCAAATGCACTGTGTGTGGGAAGACATTTACACAGTCATCACATCTTGACAGCCATCAGAAAACACACACTGGTGAGAAGCCCTTCAAGTGTACTGTATGTGGGAAGGCATTTACACGGTCATCACATCTTGACAGCCATCAAAAAACCCACACTGGGGAAAAACCCTTCAAATGCACTGTGTGTGAGAAGGAATTTAAAGATTCCGGATCTCTTCGTATTCATCATAGAATACATACAGGTGAGAAACCCTTCAAGTGCACTGTGTGTGGAAAGGCATTTTCATGGTTATCGAATCTTAACAGCCATCAGACAACACATACTGGTGAGAAGCCCTTCAAATGTACTGTTTGTGAGAAGTCATTTACACGGTCAGGAACTCTTCAGGATCATCAGAGAACACACACAGGCGAGAAGCCCTTTGTGTGCACTGTGTGTGAGAAGGCATTTAAAGATTCCGGATCTCTTCGTATTCACCATAGAATACATACAGGTGAGAAACCCTTCAAGTGCACTGTGTGTGGAAAGACATTTTCATGGTTATCGAATCTTGACAGACATCAGAAAACACATATTGGTAAAAAAAACTTCAAATGCACCGTGTCTGAAAAGGCTTTTAAAGATTCAGGATCTCTTCGTGTTCATGACAGAATACACTCAGGCAAGACGCCCGTCAAGCACACCGTGTATGGAAAGGAATCTGTACGGTCAGAAGGCCGAAAGAGGCGTGAGAAGATCCACAAGGGGATGGAGGTGGAATTGAGAAGTGAAAGTCAAATTGCTTCATTGAGCCCATCTCTCATGGAACAAGAACCAGAAGCTAACCCCACTTTTGAAACATGGCCAGGAGTGAAGGTGGAATGTGAAGAAATGAAGGTGAAATGTGAAGATGAAGATTCGACTCCAGGAACCGACCTCCAGGTTGATGGAGGCAACGTGAAGCAGGAGGGGCATTTGGACTCTGAGGGAGAGCGAGGCATCCTCGAGGAGTTTGAGGAGGAATTGTGAGTCGAATATTTGGACAGCAGAGTAGGAGGGCCCTGCACATGTGAAGTGGAGTCTGGGAAGATCTGTAACCAAGACCGTGACACAATAATTCTAAAGCGTTAACTTTATTCATAGGCTTCTCTAATTACAATAATGAATGCAGCTGTAGGCATCATCCAGCTTTTATTTAATGTAGCAGCGCCAAAGTTTTGGAACCACTTAAGAAGTTTCACCTCTTGGCATCTCCATTCTCCCATCTCTGTTTTCATTGACTCCAGGACTCGACCTCCATGTTGAATTAGAGGCAGCGTGAAGCAGGAGAATTTGGACTCTGAGGGAGAGAGGCAATTTGAAGAGTTTGTGGATGTGGGGTTGTGGGTGGAGTTTATGGACGATCTAAATAGGAACCAGCAGTGTGAAATGGAGTCCGGTTAAATGTGAAACTCGGAAAGTGAGAGAGAATCTCCACGGCGTTTACCTTATCCCCACGGCATTTACCTTATCCCCACGGCGTTTACCTTATCCCTACAGACTTCTCTCACTCCAACAAGGCATGCAGCTGTAGGCATCCAGCCAGAGATGAGCTTTCGAGCTTTCAGCAATTATATTATTGCCATTCAGTCGTGAAATATTGCCGATTTGCAACATAGTAGGGGTGCTTTTATTGATAATTCAGCATTACAAATTGTTGGTTATGTATAAAAGATTTTGAGTCTTTATGTTGACGTTTCGACAGTGCAGTAAGGCTTTGTTTAACATGGTCATCGTATTCCTGGAGTGTCGTGTTAGCAAAAACACTTTCCCCATAAATGATGTAATAATAAAATGTGGAAAGATACGATGTACTACGCACACCACAGTGAGATGGCGGGACAAGTAACGGAGGGTACTACATTACGTTATCATTCCGCGTTGTACGCAAAAAGTTTACCCGAATGGAAGAACCACGTTATAGCGAGAATGCAGTGTGTGGACACCATACATTAAGTGAGGACTTACTGTAAATTTCTGTTTGCTTTGTTAAAATAGTTTTTAACTGCATTTACTTATTTTTTATTCCTTTAAGTTTTCAGCTTTTTCTAACACGTGTAATGACAGGGTGCCACCTGTCAGCCTGGAGGGTAATCACGGGTATGGGCAAGTTATATAATGACTCACTAGAAGGGGGGCGGTATCTGGGGTAAAGGTGAAAGGCAGAGTCAGTCGGGAAGTTCTGGGAACCTGCTCCAAGGTTCTGGAGGGGGCGTGGCTGGGATGTATATAAGGGGGACGGAACCAGAGGTTCGGGGCTATTGCAGCTCCTGGGTCCTGGCTGCGTCGCTGCTCGCCGCCATCTCTCTTCGTCGTCCGGCCTCGTGGCCGATCCTCTGCACGATTTTCATAGTCATCACTACGCTAGTTGGACAGCTGTGTAGTTGGATGCCGACCGTGGGGTTGTGTAGAAGGGTCGGCTATGTGTAGCCATGTAGATACGTTCTATATAACGGCTAAGTGGTATGCCCAGTGTGAGAATAAATAAGAAGCTGTCTACACGACGTGGTTCCAAATGAACAAAAACCCTCGCCCATCGCGGGTTTTCCCATTGTGGATTTGACTGTGCCAAATTTATTTAGCTACATGTTCTTTGGTTCTTTCGGTAAAGTCACGTAGGTAGAAAAAATAATAGATAATGACGTTTCGATCGCAACGCAAGCAATTGTCATGAGATGAGAAAACTGCAGCAAGAAAACTGCTGAAGTCGGCGAGAGCTGCCGTGACGAGAGGTCCGAGCTGCGAAGACAGGAGGGGGCAGTGGGCGGGGCTGGAAGTAGAAAGCTGCGTGTGAAGACATGATGGGGAAGTGGCCGGAGCTTATTTAGCTACAGTTCATCGATAGCGCCCTACCTGTAGCTCCACCATTCATGTTTGACTGCAAATTTATTATACAGTATACATGTTCTAACTTGCTGCCCTGCCACTACATCAGCCTGCAGTGAGGAGGCAGAGCTTCAGCCACCTGTCACTGTTCTTACCTCACTAAGTTTTTTTCTCCCCATATATTTTCATCGTGCAAGTTATATTATTATATTATTGCTGTGCAGTCGTAAAATGTTGTCGATTTGCACAGTAGTGCGGGTGCCTTGCTTTATAATTAAGCATTCTAAATTGTTGGTTATGTATAAAGCGATTTTGAGTGCTCCTAACGTAGTAGATGAGTTCCTGGAGAGTACCGATGTAAGCGAAAACTACGTGAAGTGAAAAGATTTTCCCATAAATGGTGTAGTAATGTTAAGGTTTGGCAAGATACGATGTACTACGCACACCACACATTGAGATGGCGGGATAAATAGCGGAGGGTACGCCACCACTGCGTAATGGTATTATTCCACATTATTGTATCACTGTACCACTCAGCACGTAGGTCAAGAAAGTAGTTCATTGTCGACCGCTTAGAAACTGTCGTAACGGTGCCCATTCCGCGTTGTAACGGTGCGTGTTCTGCATTGTGCAAAAAAGTTTTTCCCAAATGGAAAAACCGTGTGATAGTGAAAACGCAGTGTGAATACCACACGTTAAACGAAAACTTACTGTACATTTTGATTGTCTCCTATTCAAATAGCTTTTTAACTGCATTTACTAAAATTTTATTTTACCTTTTTACATTGGAGCTTTTTTAACATTTATGAGGTTTTATGTCATGTTCAAATACACGAAAACCCTCGCCCATCGCGGATTTGACCGTTGCCAAATTTATTGAGCTTCAGTTCACCAATCATGCCCCCGTGGCTCCACCATTCACGGTAACTGTGAGCTTCATGTATAGTACGCATCTGTTGTAACTGCCCTACTGGACATCCGCCTCTCGTGAGGAGACTAAGCTTTGGCCACCTGCCATTTTTTAGCTCACTGTTTTTTTCCCCCATTCAATATATTTACCGTGTAAGTTATATTATTAATAATATTGCTGTGCAGTCGTGAAATATTGTCGATTTGCAAATAAGTACCGGGTCCTTGATAATTGAGCATAAAAAAAATTGTTGGTTATGTATAAAGGGATTTTGAGTATATTAATGACAGTGCAGTAAGGCCTTATTTAATGCGTTGGATTCGTACCCGCAGAGTGCCGTGTAAGGGAAAATGAGAAATAACTGTGGGTACACTGCCACTACGCTACTGTCATTCTGCGTCACTCGGCCACTCAGCTGAAAGTGGTACGTTGTCGATCAATCAAATACTGCGTTATAACAGTGCACGTTCCGCATTGTAACGGTGTGCGTTACGTTGTGCACAAAGTTTTACCAAATGAAAAAAACACGTGATCGCAGAAATGCGATGTGGAGACAGCACACGTTAAGTGAGGACTTTTTCATCTTCTTGGTTCTTTCGCTAAAGTCCCTTCTACGTGACTTTTATTATGTTTTATTATTATTATGTTTTATTTTTTATATTTTATTACTTCCCTTCTACGTGACTTTACCGAAAGAACCAAGAAGATGAATCCCTGCAGTCACGAAAGCTTTAAATCGAAATGAGGACTTTTTGTACATTTTGTTTTGCTTTAATGCAATAGCTTTTTACTAAATTTAATGTTCCTTTTTTACGTTTTCTGATTTTTCTAACATGAGGTTTTATGTCATGTTCCAAATACACCAAAACCCTTACTCAGCGCGGGGTTTCCCATCGCGGATTTGACCGTGCCAAATTTATTAAGCGACAGTTCACCTTTGGCGCCCCCTTGTGGCTCCACCTTTCGCGGTTGCTTGTGAGTTTCATGTACAGTACACATTCGTTGTAACTTGCTGCCCTCCCCACTGGACATCAGCCTCCAGTGAGGCAGAGCTTTAGCTGCCCGTCATTTTTCTTACCTCACTATGTATTTTTTTTTCCCATTCCATATATTTACTTTGCAAGTTATATTCCTATTATTGCCGTGCAGTCGTGAAGTATTGTCGATTTGCAAAGTAGTACGGGTGCCTTGATAATTAAGCATTACAAATCGTTGGTTATGTATGAAGGGATTGAGTATCTATGTTAATGGTTGGACTGCGGTAAGTCCTTGTTTAACGTGGTAGATGCGTACCCGGAGAGTGCTGCGTAAGTGAAAATCGCGTTAAGCAAAAAAAAATCCCCATACGAAATGTAGCAATGGTAAAGTTTGGCAAGATACGATTTACTATGCACACCGCACAAATAGCGGGACAAATAACTCGGGATATGCTGTCCCTGCGTTACTGTATCATGCCGCATTACTGTACCACTGTACCACTCACCCGCGTAGCTCGTGTTCTGCATTGTAACAATGCGCGTTCCGCATTGTAACTGCGCTTTCCGCATTGTAACAGTGCGCGTTCTGCATTGTAACAAGGCGCGTTCCACGTTGTGCAAAAATTTTTTTTCCTGATTAGAAGAACCACGTGATAGCCAAAACATATTGAGTGTACACCACACGTTAAGCGAAGACTTTCTGTACATTTCAGTTTGCTCTGCTATTAAAATTGCTTTTTAACTGAATTTACTTTAATTTAATTTTCCTTTTCTTTTTTGCATTTTCAGCTTTTTTACATTTATGAGGCCATAATACAGGTTTTTTTGGGTTAGATCGCGTAAATATATAAATGTGTCGTTAAACCCGACACAGCCAATAAATAAGGTTTGTGATGTCAACAGAACATGCCAATCCATTACTAGTACAGCACACCGGTGTGTTGGAGAGCAAAACCACAACATTTACAATTTGAGTACGATGTTTCGCCAGTAATTAAGTAAAACTTTTTTTTGGCTTTACTTTCCAACACTGGTGTGCTGTCCTAGTGTAATGAGACGACTTCCAAGACATGACTTGTAGAGGGGTTTCTTTACTCTTTGGTTCTTTCGGTAAAGTCACGTAGGTATAAAATGAAATAAATAACGACGGTGCAACACAAGCGTCTGTCATCAGGTGGGAAAGCATGATCTGCTGCTGAGGCAGACTGTTTTAAATGGTTTGAAATGAGTGTAGCCCAAGGGTCATAAAGAAGTGGGCGGGGCTAGTGATGTTAATG